GAGTTGAACTTACCACCAACCGGAACCTTATATTAAAGTTCTGATTCCGATTCTTAAACTGGCGATTCTAGTTGGAACCGCTGATTCTAACCCTTTTTATTTGTTTCTTTTATTTATTATTTTTTTATTTTTTTATTTTGGACGCAAAGGCCAAAGGCCAAACTTTGGCCTTTGGCCTTTGCACCACAAAGGACATGCCCACTGCCCAATGTGGCAGTGAGGCCGTCCGGAGTAGGCTTGCAGCTTTAGTTTTTTTTTTTTTTTTTTTTTTTTTTTTTCGGTTAGGAACCGAAATTGTTCGGTTTGAAATCGAAATTGGCGGTTTATGTTCCTTTAATAAGTAAATTTTTACCGAAACTAGAATTGTACGGACGATTTTGGTTCGATTTTAGTTAGCACAAAAAGGGTTACGATTTGAACTTTTGGTTCGAACAAACTGTGGTCACCCACTCACCCTTAGTAAGGAGGGTTAAAATTATCATAAGAGGCTTAATTAACTTTAGGATCAGATAAAAAAAAAAGTTTGAAGAACATTAGCATGAACCTTCAAAAGAGACAAAGCACATGTTCTAAAAACAAAATGCCTATTATCTTCTAAAAAAGAGTTTTTGGGCACTTTTCATATAAGACATTAGAAAAATAGTACTTTGAGTTATATATACTTATAGTAATTTTTCTCTTTAAAATATTAGAATAAGGTTCAAATTGGCCACTGAACGTACCTGAAAATGCAATTAGGCCACTGAACGAAAAAAAAGTGCAATTAGGTCACTGAACACTCCAAAAATGTGCAATTTCACCTGACAGCAGGTTACCCTCAATTTTAGCAGGTTATCTGCTTACACGGCAGCTGAGTTGTCATTTTTAATAAATTTTAAATATTTTTTAATAAATTTTAATAATAAATTTTTATTTAATTTTTTTTTAAAAAAATAAAAACGACTTTATTTTATTTTTTATTTATTTTTTTCAATTTTTTATAAAATTTATTATTAAAATTAATTATTAAAAATTATTTAAAATTTATTAAAAATGCCAACTCAGCTGCCACGTAAGCAGGTAACCTGCTAAAATTGATGGTAACCTGCTATCCGGTGAAATTGCATACGTTTGGAGAGTTCAGTGGCCTAATTGCACGTTTTTGGAGTGTTCAGTGGCCTAATTGCACTTTTTTTCGTTCAGTGGCCTAATTGCATTTTCAGGTTACGTTCAGTGGCCAATTTGAACCTTATTCCTAAAATATTTATGTAAGCACATTAGCCCCTCAACTATTCAAAAGTGGTGATTTTTCCATCTGATATATTAAATTGACCTTTCTACCCTTAAAATAAACATTTTATTTATTTTACTTCTCCAACAAATTATTGCGTATACGTAGGGATGACCACGGTTGAGTTTGAACTTAAGCGGACACTATAGCAATCGAATTAAAACTTTCTCGTTATGATTCGGATCTAGAATCCAATATTTGGATTTCAATTTATTAGAATTATGAATCAAAAAAATTGAATCCTGAACCGTGAACCAGCGGTTCCGGATCCGGTTCGCGATTTTGAACCGTCATTATTTTAAAATTTTATTATTTATTTTAAAATAGTATAAATTCAACAATAAATGTATTTTATTTTTTCAGTTCGAAACATGAACCAGCCGTTCCGGTTCGCGATTTTAATAAACTCTAAATATTGGGTTCCTATTCTAAATTGTAATTGGAATATTTCAGTTTAGTTACTATAGTGTCTGTTTGGTTTGAATCAAATTATGGTCATAATTTATTAGAGAAGAAAAATAAATGAAATATTTATTTTAATGGTAAATATATCCATTTAACGTACATTTCAGAGGGAAAAACAGCCACTTAAATAATTCATAAGGAAAAAATACTATAAGTAAATAACTCAGGGAAAAATGGCAGACATTTGATCTCTTCACAAATTGGAATAAAGAAAGTTAGTATAGCTACACTTTTCAAATAAATCGTCAATTTATGTTGAATGTTACAACTTACAAGTAAAAAATAAATAAATAAATAAAATAAAAACCATTAAGAGACAACATATGAGTAGCATTAATGAGAAATTCAATCAATTATTCCTTATATTACATGTGCTTTATTTGCATGTTTAGATATAAATTAATTTGTTTACATATTAAAATTTAACATTTTGTCTTTAAAAAAAATTAACATTTTAAAATAAAGTTATTAGCATAATCATGATCTAGCATCTCATAATGAAGTAGAAATATTGTTGTAAATCTCATAATAATAATAATAATAATAATAATAATAATAATAATAATAATAATAATAATAATAATAATAATAATAATAATATTTACAGTGAAAGTTGCGAATAAAAGAGAATAGAAAAGAGTTTTAATTGGGAAGGGTAAATTATGTTATTTCTTTAAAATAATAAGGATAAAGATGAAACAAAAAATTAGGAAGCTAGGATCTTATTTTGAAACACTACCTAAGGTGGCGTTCCAAAATAAACTCTTATTTTAAGCTAGGAGCTTATTTTGGGAATATTATCAAACAGAATTTATAGCTTATTATTAGCTTAAAATAAGATATAAGCTACTAAATAAGCTACGTCAAACAGAGCCTTAAAAAGAATTGGAGCAAACGTACGGTGCTTAGAAAAATGAAATATCTAATTATAATATTAAAAATAAAATATTCGAAATTGAATCGTGGATCTTGAATAGCAAGTAGCTTCTATAGGTTCTAATTAATTTTAATTGACAAATTACTTATCTTTAGTTTAGTTTGATTTTAACAAAATGAAAACGCAAAATAAAAAGCATGTATAGAAAATAGAAAAAGGACGCACCAATTGATCACGTAGTTCGAAGCTAAAACTCTTATGTTTGCGAAGCAATTCACGTAAATCCAATCCACTAGATATTCACCAAGATTACAGGGGTTTGTATGACACAATCACATACATAAAGGCCACAGCCAAATACACCAATAAATCTTCAACTCATCTACGATGAAAACGGGTACGTCCATGCCAAGATCAATCTTCAACTTTCAACTCGCTGAATACAACTCAAGATACAACTTTGTGGATAATATATTTCCAGTCCAAGATATATAAATAATCAATTTAATAAAGTAGATTTTCCCTTCGAATTAATGCGTTGACGTCGTGAATATGAAACACAAAAACTTCACCTTTTATAATCAAATTGACGAATTGAAGGACGATTTGGGGCCGGGTTGAAGGAGATGAAGATGATGAGAGCCGGGTGAAGGAGATGGTGCAATCCACGCCTGAAGAGACGAAAATCGAAAAAAAAAAAAAAAAAAAAAAAAAAAAAAAAAAAAAAAAACAGCCCAGAAAACTGGAAAAAAAAAAAAATTTGAAGAGACGAAAATACTCTTCCTTAAAATAGGGCTTCACAGGAAAAAAGTCATCGAAATGACCAAAAGTGTCCAAAATATGATAGTCAGGGTTGTTTAAAGGTAAAATTGATTGTCTAGGACTAAATTTGGTATTGACATCAAAGACAAGCCACCTCCGATCCGCAGAAATCAACTCATTGGAAAAATAATAATAATAATAATTGAAGAGACGAAAATACTCTTACTGAAAATAAAATTTTACCAAAAAATTCATCGAAAGGATAAAAAGTGTCCAAAATATGATAGTCTAGAGTGTTAAATGACAAAAATGATAACTTAGATCTAAATTTGAAATTGTCACTAAAAATAAGGGACCTTCGCTGAAATTAAGTGTGAATAGTGTCTTCAATATGATCTTCTGAGTGTTCTACCGTCAAGGGTGGTTGCAACTTCATCCATTTACCTTGCTTGTTTTTGGTCGCCCCCTCTTTCTAAAAAGAACTTTATGTATGACATTTTTCTCTACAATACAAAATCGAAACTAATAATTTTGTGTCAACAACGATTTCGTTGGTCACATTTGTAAGTCTTAAAAAAAATTCTTTATATTTATTGGTTACTCATAAATTAACTCACTTATCATGAATTAATCATATAAGCATTACCATAAATAAAACAAAATAAAAGTTAACAAATTAATCAAATAGAAAAAGACCAAGCACATTGTACTCAAATGACACCTCTATGGCTCCCTTTGAGGAAAGGTCACAGGATCGAACTCCGATGGTGGAGTCTTGACTTTTTAGACTGCAATAGATAGGGAAAGTATAGAACAGATACTACCTTGTAATAGGGTCAATAGTATTCAAAAAATCAAATAGAAAAAGAATTCATGTAGTAATATCATATTGCGGTGTAAACATTAAAATATAATTTTAAGAATGGATTGTAACAAAAATTGTCATAATTAATAAGAGACAAGAACTTTGTTGTTTGGGGGTGTAATGTGATGTATAGTTTCTCCTTTGTAGTGTTATTCGTTTTTTGTTTTTGTTTTTGTTTTTGTTTTTGTTTTTTTTTTTGTTTGTGTTTTTGTTTTTGTTTTTTTTTTTTGTTTTTGTTTTTGTTTTTTTTTTTTTTTTAAGAATGTAGTGTTTGGTTGACATGCATATTCATTGATTATATTAAAATTATTCATTAATTAATTGAGATTAATTATAATTATAATACATTAAATATCAAGCATTTTGTAAGAAGAAAAAAAAAAGATCCATTATGATATTATATTATAACTTAAAATGAAAAGTTACTAAAGTACAAACCCATTAATAAAAAAATTTAAGATGCAATTAGGTTCTAACAAAAGAGATATTTTTGTGTCATTGACATATTCACAAAATTAAATTCTCTTTTATACGAACACAAAATTACCCACTACAAAAGATTGTTAATAATAACAGGATTTAATTTAAACTTAAGTCGTTTTAAATGAATTATAACTATATCAATTCAATTTAACCAATTTCGTGTATACCCAAATTAGTATATGAATGGTTTCAATTTATAGGCGGCAACATAAGAAAGAAAACAAAGAAAAAAGGAACATGCATGCATGTCACTAAAATTATTGCATGTCAAATTTTGACACGAAAATGAAGAAATTTTGTGTTCTAGAAATATTTTTTTTCCCCTTTTTTTGTTCTATTCGCTATTCTAAGTTGTTGAATACATAATTATATTCATATATAATACAACATATATGTAACACCTCATATATGCATGCTCAATTATGCATAGAGCCCTCCTAGTAATTAGAGGCACTAAGTGTACTAAGTATATGTTGTAATTCACTAAACCTCGATGAATTCGACGTGATTCACGAAGTGTGTGTGCATGTCTCCGATCAAGCTCGCCGCCGGAAATTTAGGCAGACCGCCGTCCGGCGCCTGTGGAGAAGAAATCTATGAATTGCACATCGCCACCGCCGGCGGGCTTGCTCCGGTTACCGGCGGCGGCTTGTTGTTCCACCTCCTCGTCGTCTCTTCTTGCATGTTGATCTATCACTTCGCTTTTGTTAGAGTCAGTATTTACTTGGAGAAAATCGTAAAACTCCACTGACTTCTTCCTATTATCTGTAATCAAATGGAACTGTTGAGTATATAATATATAAATAATAAATATGTAGTTTAGACATTTAGTTACGACAGATTATATTTTTCAATTGAAACAATTATTTTTTTTTATTGAGACTCATAAACACACTACAAAATCATTAAATATTTATTATGTTTACGATAGCTACACATTCTGTTGCAATGGCAATTACTACCAAGCAGTAGTTAACGTTGCTTCAAGATAAATAAATATTGAAAAACAGTGTAACAATATAATGTGTGTATAATATTTTTACTTAAAAGAAAGATGAGATGTCTAAAAATATATTTGTTTTTCTAAAAAATTGCATTTCACTCTACCTGTCAGGGTAATAAATATTATGCAGATAGTAATTTTTGTAAGAAATATAATATTATTTATTTTTTGTAGGGGTGTAACATTATTATATTCTTTTAAATATAAACGGTAAATTACTACATAAGCTAAGTGATTCACATGAATTATTATGTTGTTTACATACATATTAGTTGTGCTAATAATTAAGTTAATATGAGATGTTGTATATATTACATGATGTGTAAATTAGAAGTGTATAAAGTTTTCTATAGGTGATAAAATTATTTCATAAGAAATTAAAATTTTTATTAGGTGATTATAAAACACACTAGCTAACTAATTAAGTAAAACAATCACATAAAAAATAGCTAATTTCATAAATTAAATAAAAAACATTATTTTTTTGTCAGACCACGAGTGTCCTGAACAGACCCTAATTGTATGAAGCACCTTTAAACTCGCATCATACTCAAATCTCCATTCAAACTTACCTGCCCAATTATGGGACAAACAAAAAACATTATTTGTGCATGCATGAAAGCAAATATCCTAATGTAAATATGCATATTATGTCCTATATTATGTGCCTGCAATTGATATATTTTGTACTTACCGTTAACACTTGATGTGCATGTAAATAAATTAAATACACATAACATATTAACTACGGACACATAATATGTAATATATATATATATATATATATATATATATATATATATATATATATATATTGACAGAAAACATAGGAGTATCAAGTATGGGACTGTAACTAAAATAAATTAATGAAATTACCTAGATCCATCGTCACAGGTTGAACGAAGTTGTCTCCTTGAAACTCCAATGGATAGAGAGAGTGAGCATATGGCAAACTAGGGTAGTGCAGTTTATCAAAAAATGGAAGGTTTCCATTGAAGGCGGCTCTGGTAAACTCGCCGCCGGGATGGGGCTGCCGTGACGAAGATGCCGCATGGTCGTTTAAGGACTTGAGGACGGCCTTCTTGGCGTAGATCTTGGACCGCTCCCTGCACTTCCGAGCCATGATAACGTGCCAGTGGTTCTTGACGGCGTTATCGGTGCGGCCGGGGAAAAGCCTGGCGATTATAGCCCACCGGTTGCCGTGAATCCGGTGAGACGCCAGGAGCCGCTCTTCCTCCTCCTCCGTGAAGGGGCTCCGGTTGATTCTTGGATCCAGTTGGTTGAACCATCTTAGTCTGCAACTCTTCCCTGAAAAACATAGAATATAATAGTTTAGAAATTAAATTTCAAATTTTAATTTAAGTTGCATATATATGTATGAAACAAAATGTATGTAATAAATCCTTTTTTTTCTTTTTTTTTTTTTCTGGATAGTCATGTTGTTATGTTCATTGTATCGGAAAAAGAAAACCTTAATTACTATGCGGTGTTTGGTAAAATAGCTGTTAGCTAATAGTTGATTGGGTTAGTGGGTTTGACCCGTTGATAGCATTAGCTGTAGGAAGATTAGATGTTAGCTAATAGCTAATTACACGTAAAATGACTTTTCTCAAAAAGCTGATCGAAAAAGCTACTTTGAATATCATTTTGAATTTTAGTGTTTTGGAGCAATAAGCGGTTACAAAAAGCTAATTAATCAAACACTTATATTGGTTGTTTAAACAAGTCAAACAACTAATAATGATCAAATAAGTCAAAATTAAATGATAAGCTAACTACGTTAATTACCAAATTAGGCCTATGTGTTGGACCTAGATTGGAGTACTTAATTAGTCTAGTATCCTATTATCGAAACATAAGTGTGCAGTGGGTACTAAGCAAATATAAGAAAATAAAATTGGACAGCATTTATTACTACATATAGCTTTTTGGTATAGCAGTAGTTGTTAGAATTACGACTACATCAAAGATTATAACTAACAGCGATATTGTTAGAATTATAACTTCACCAAAAATTATAATTAATAGCGAAAACACAATTTTATTTCCTTATGTTATATATAATCAACACCATATTTTAATAGTAGCTTAGGATGATGTTAAACTTAATTCTCAAAGTCTCTTAATAGTAGCTTAGGATGATGTTAAACTTAATTCTCAAAGTCTCTGTCCAACACTATATCCAATTAAAAGAAAAAACAATAACAATAACAACAGAAAAAGTGGAGGATAATAAAGAAAGAAAGAAAAGAGTCTAGAAAATTTACTTATATTGGAATCTTTCAAAACCTAAATTTGTAATATAATTAATGCCTTACTCTTGAAAGTGAAATTATGAGTCCATAATCTCCCTCCTGGCCAACTTTACTATTTCAGTATTTCGTATATGGCTAATACATATTTATCATGTAATATATATTATTTATCCAATCTCACAACTTTCAAGTAGCTAATTCTTGAAAAAAACAATTGATATGTGTACGTATAGCTCACTGCACCATTAGATTTTGTTATGAAATGGGACAGGCCACCAATTATTCAGAGATATATATAAACATATTACCATTGTTACAATAGATTGGATTTAAATCCAATCCTAATTAATACTCAAAAAATAATAATTTACTTATAAATAAATATTCTAATCCCGATTCAGACCAGAACCCTGATCGAGTTAATTCTTTATTATTAGCTCTTTAGATCTTGAAAGAGGTTAAAGACTAGCTAGAAAAGAAAGAAAGAAGTTTGCAGAAGATGAATATATATGAAGAAACAAAACCTATATATATATATACCTGATCTTCCTTGAAGCTTTTCAGCTATGGCATTCCAATTATGAGGCCCATATTTCTTCACCAATTCTCTGAGCTTCTCGTCCTCATGAGGCCTCCAGTGGCCTCTGCTACACATCATCACCTGATCTTCTATATATCCTCTTTACCAACAACACCAACTAACAAAACTGATCAAAAACCAAACAAAAATAAAGGCCCAACAGTAACTGATGATAATAAAAACCCTGATTCCTATCAACTTCCCAGCTCCAAATCTTGCCGGATTTCAACAACAACTTATAAGTCTATCTGATCTGAGCTAGCTGGAGACATATATGTACAGATAGAGAGAGAAAAAAAAAAATTAAAGATTGGAAGTTGGGTGTGGGTGGTGGTATATATATATATGGGATAGATATAAGTTGAGATTAGGATTTGTTGTTGATAGTTAGAGAATTGAAGAAATGAATTATTGTGTTTGGTGGGTTATGGAGAGCAGGAGAGAAAAATATAAGGAATTGTTGGGGAGAAGAGAAGAGGAGAAGAGAAGATGAGAAAGTGTTTTCCGTTAGGAAGTGGGAAGGTTTGGGCAGACTTTGTACCGGTGATTGATGGCTAGGTCTAGGCTAACAAACTAATAATCCTTGTACACACAACCTATTTATCTCGAATATATATTATATACATTACTATGTATGTATACATAGTACATATAGTTGTAGGAAAATTACATAAGAGAGAGAAAATGGATGCTATCTTAGGTTGCTTGGAGGGCTGAGTTTTGTTCTGCTTTCAACATCTTCTCACTTTTTCTAACCTACAAACGTCTACTTATAACCCACCTTAATTAATTACCAAACCTATTTTTTCCACCCTTCTTTCTAACTATAATGTGTTTATGGAAAGTTGTAATTACACTCCTATTTCATCAATATAATTACATTTTCTTCTCCCAAATACTGCATACTGAACCAGTAAATTAAGCCTGTGCGCCTTTATAAATATAATAATTACCTTTAACGCTTGGCCTAATAGTTTTACAATTTTGAATTAGAATTTCATTCCCATCTAATTCCGAAGGCAAGCAAATTTCTTTGTTTAGTTAGAGAGAATTACAATTCTGCGGAATTTTAGTTCCTTCATTTTTATAGAATTATAATTTCATGCCCCCATTGGTATTTTCAATTCTGCTATTTTTGGGAAGAAAAAAAAAATACTCTTGAGACAAAATTACCCTTCTCTTTCATAACCTAAAATTGATGTTTTATTTGTGTGTTATAACAAGTAAGAGCGTTTTGATCTTTATACTACTTATTCCCTTTCAATTTCTGTAGATACCAAACATTGAAATTTAAATTTCCACTTTATTCCACACTATTCTCCCTCCTAGAATTACAATTTCCTTCCTCCTTAATTCTCATCTTACAACCAAATGAACCGTTAAGATTTCAAAGATTCGATAGTTGCATCTTAAATAACTAGGTAAAATAAAGTTTTTTTTTTAGTTCAAATGTTTAATCATCATTTAATTATTATTTGTAATCTTGATCGGTAATGTTTGGATAAGAATAGATTATTTCAACGCTGAAATACTTCATCGATTTTAAATAGAACTTACAATTGAATTGACAGAATACTTACTGGAAAGAATGGTGGTAGGAAAAATTAATTTAAATTAATTGCCATTTTTATTAAATATACAAAAAAAAAAAAAATCTATAATGAAACGTATCATGCATATTCTTGTATCGAATTAACCCAAATGAAACGGACCCATAATAAGCTTATATATCCAAACCCTTAAAAACTTACTTCGTGAATGGTTTTGTCATTTCATAAAATTAATAAATAAAATTAAGGAAACACATTTTTATTCTCTCAAATATTCACGATTTGTTATTTTCGTCTCTAACTATCAAAAATTGTAAAATATGTTATTATGATCACATCAATCGCTTACCACAACTTTAAATGCTATAACTAATAGCGAAGATGCAACTTTATTTTCTTATTCTAGCATAGGATTCAATGTCACATTTTCATTATAGAATATATCGTAGACTCAGCCCTCCAAGCATTCGTCCATCATATGCCCACAAGTTTACAATGTTGTGGTGATTTTAGTCCCCTAACAAATTAAAACGTAAAGGTTATTTCATTGAAATTTAATAATATCCAAAATCAAATATCCACAATATTAAAGGGTGTTTGGCAAATAGCTGTTAGCTGATTGGGTTAGTGAGTTTGACAGGTTGATGGATAGTATTAGTTGATTGTAGAAAGATGTTTGGTAAATTACTTGTTAGCTGATAGCTGATTACATGCAAAATGACTTTATCAAAAAGATGCTTTGAACAATTTTTTGAATTTTAGCGTTTTAGAGCAATAAACTGTTGCAAAAAAATTAATTAATCAAACACTCATATTGATTGTTTAACCAAGCTGATAGGAATATACCTACCTGGCAAAGTACACATGTAGTATCAAATCCGGTTGGACTTAAACAACCAGGCGTCGCTCTCTTTAAACCGACCAAGACCGATCGGCACCGAGCATCGTGTCTTTCCTGACCGAGTCCACCCAGTCGTGTTTTGCATGCATTTCCTCCCTTAGGGTCTATACGTGTCAACAACACGTATGGCCTCCGGATTCGCCCGGTGTAGGTCAGACACGTGCCCGTCATGCCAGTAGTCCGGGCTCATGTCCCCCTCCCCCCTCCCCCCCCCCCCCGCCCGGCTTAGCCTATAAATACGCGAATTTATTATGGCAAGGGGGACTTTTTGACCCATTCAGAGTTCAGACACCTGCTCGGAGGCTCCCGACCCACTGTCGTTGGACACTGAGTACAGGTGGCTGTATATAAATATTGTACAGACGAGCCTGTATTAGTACTATATCACAAGCCAAATAGCTAATGGTGGTCAAACAATCCAAAATTAGCTGATAAGTTAACTATGTTACCAAACATGGCCAAAATGGTCATAAAAATATTCAATGCTTAATATCAACTTACATTTCAATTTATTGTCAAAGGCCCAAAATTGTCACAATCTTACAAAATAAATGTATATTTTATAACTTTTTTATAATAGAAAATTAAAAAATAAAAACTATTTATGAATAATTGAGACACTAAAAGTAAAAATGACATTAAAATTTAATTAATATTCAATAGTAATTACACTAAGAATATCAATCAACCAATGCAGCTCGCAATCAATTATTAGTTTAGCCTTATCATGCATAAACTAAATTTATCAACAATAATGTCAAATTGTCAATTATAAACATATATTACAAAAAGAATAGAAAATAAAAGAAAAGCATATATAGTATAATAATTATTTTATAAATGTATAACTGCATACGTAATCCATAAATAATATATTCTTATATTCCAAGTAAGAAAAGGTTGGTATGGAATGTATTGAGATTTAATTAGGTCCTCATCACCTTTCTAGACCTAACTAACAAAATTGGCTAGCTTAACAATCTTTGTAACAGCACGTGGAAACTCGGAAAACCCTCCTAAACTAAACTTATGTTTCTGTTAGTCAAACCATATATACCATCCTCGGTTTCGGTTGTTAATAACATTGATAGATATTTCTTGAGACCCCATCTTATTTCTCTTCATAGGCAAAACAAAATTGATGCTTAAAATTACTTCTTGTCTTGATATTCACACTTTAGTCTGACAATGGTCACTTTATGGTGCTTAAAAAGAAAAATTGTTTTTATTTATTATTCATCTGTGAATTGGGTAACAAATCAAATAAATATTATCATTATAAAACTATCTGCAAAGTAAATTTTATGTGTATAGTTCGATTAACGAGATTTGACTAAATTTATTTATAATTCAAATTTTTATAATATTAACTTTAACATAAATATATGTGTATAGGAACTATATTAAAAATACTATTAAATTAAAAATTTTAAAAATAATAAAAAAATACTAAAGAAAATAAGTAGAGAAGAAATACTTGAATTTGACTAATGAATAATAAATATGATAGGTAAAATGAGACAAAAGAAGTGTTATAATATATATTGCAACACGTGATAAACAAATTGTTGGTGGTGAATATATACCAATATATATATATATATATATATATATATATATATATATATATACTAATGAAAAAATGAAATTTGATTTTTAGAAAATTAATTCCAACTAAAGTTTGGTACGAAACCAACAAATAACATATATATACGAAAATATATATGTATATTAACGAAAATAGGGATTTAATTTAGAAAAGATAATCCCAATGAAAAAAAGATGAGAAATATAAGTCGTGTGTAAAACATACTTTCTTTAAAACTGATTCGCTACCTCCCGAAGGTGCCAAGAGCATTGTAGCGTCAATCTCTCAGGATAAAACGGATTACGACATTTGTGTTTGAGCACTCAAACAAAAAGTACGGCCAACAAGAACAACAGGCAAACACTTTGTTCTTTTTTACGGAAGTGTTTGCAAAATTTTCGTAAGAAAAAGAGTTAAGAGAGGAAGAGAGAAAAACTCAAATTTTGAGAGTTCAAAACTAGCAACAAAACAATCTGCCCAACACTAAGTTTTTATAGGAGATCAAGAAATAAATAGCATTAAACCATGTAATTAACATCATTCTGAAATAATTTCAAATATGTAACCCCCATAACCTACAACTTTATCTGAAGTTTAATTCTCAAAATTAAATTGGAATTAATTCCTACGAATCAACATTAATATTGTCAGAGTGCCAGAATGGTAACTACTCGAGGGACGCCTAACGCCTAAGCGGCGATTAATCGGCGCCCGCGTAATTTTTATTTTTTAAAAAATTTGTTTAATTTTTTTTTTTTAATTTTTAAGACTTGATAATTATAAACTATTTAATACTTTAATAGTTAATACTAAAACATTTAGTTTCAATAGTTCGAACTAGGAGGCCAGCGATATTTTTGCAACACTGCTGAATAGTCAACATCTGAATGGTAACTACTTAACCGAATAGTCAAGTCCAAAAAGTTGCACATGAGAGAGATCTATTATGCTATACAATTCAACCACCTTCTAAAAGGCTCTTGTATAGTGGTGCAAACCCACTCCCCAAACCAATGTGGGACAAGTGTTTTTTTTTTTTTTTAAACAAAGCATTTCCACCTTCATTTCCAACTCAAATGAGTCTATATTGAGAATAAATTTTTCATTCACCCATTATCCATTTTGAGCGTATAATATATCAATTTCTTTGTCTCACTACAAAGAGTGTGAATCCACTTTGACCTGACCCAAATCTAAAGTGAACCACACGTATATTTGTAACAAAATAACTACTTAAAATGCCATTTTATGCACAAAAAAAAAATAAAAAAATTCAACACATATATATATATTAATACTTTATGGATATATATATATATATATATATATATATATATATATATATATATATTTTATATCAAAAGTAAGGGAAAATCTGAGCAAAACTCATCCACAACTAGTTCCTCACTAGCACCTTCATATTGTTGGGGATATGCCCAACCGGTCTTCCTCAAGGACCCTCATCATACTCATTGGAGGCATTTTGCGCATAATAAGTATAAAATGCTAGTAATCAAATACGTTTGATAAAAAAAAAAGCATAAATCTAATTATTTAATATATCATAATAATCTAAGAGCACCAACAAAATTTACGATATTAAAATTACTTGTATTGTCAAAACTTTATATTTATTACATCAAATACTAAAATTTAGATACAAAAACTTTTAATGCATACAATATAATACTCCGTATCTTTTTTCAAAATTTATTAGGAATTAAGAAAAGCAAAAATGTAATATGTTGATAACGAACATCCTGTGTTCTTGACGTACTTGTCGTACCTAAATGTTGACACACTGGCTAAAAGGAAGCTGCTTAAATATATTGCAACTAAAAACCATCCTAATATGCCCTATAAAACGTTTGTAATAATTTAATTCCGTTATTAAAAAATTGTTTAAAATTTCTTGTTATAATTAAATAATTTATTAATACTATATAATTAAAATCATGTATATTACTATATTAGTTTTTTTTAAACATTAATATATTAGTTCATTCATTATATTAATAAGAAAATCTAATTATATACCACCCAAAGAACCAGCCAACAGCCTAGTACTCTTGTTTTTGTGAATATAATAAGTAGAGGTGACTCTTGTATTGACCGTTGGCCTACCTATCATCTCCAATATTAAGGTTGAATAATAAAATGGTTTTAATTTTAATTTGATTTTTTCTCCTCCATAATCTTTTGAATATTTCTACAACTTGCAATATTTTCTTACTTTTAAAAATATATTCTACTGTCATATTGCTATATATAAAGTCCATTCACTATTTTCTCTACATCTTTATAATTTCATATTCATTTTTTTCAAGTTTGTAATTCTTACCAATTGTTATTACGTGAGTTTTATTTTCACTTACAATATATTTAAGTCATTTACGAGCAGTTAATAAATATGAAAATTTTTATTATCATGTGTTAATATATAGTTGCATTTAGAAGTAAGAAATAATATATTTAAAATCGTTTACCAACCCACCATTAATCCTAGGATGCATCTTTCCATCTTTGGTAACCTTCATTAGTTTTCAGCCGCTTTCTTCAACAAACCGCCACCTCTCTCTCTCTCTCTCTCTCTCTCTCTCTACGGGCGTGTAAGTATAAATATTTATATATATAGCGATAATGACATTGGCTATGTACAGCTCAACTGCATGGAGCCGTATCGATCATAGTTACCCATAATCTAGAGAGCTTCAAATTGCAGTTTTTTTTACCAATATTTCTTTTAAATAATTATGAAAGAATATTGTTAATTAGTAATTAATTAGTGTGGCGTGCCATTTCGTTTCCGGACTTGTCCTTAACCGTTGAACAGTCTTAACTACTTATAGTGTGATGATGATGATGATGATGATCAGCTGTTTTTTCTCTTCCAAAGGGTAATCAAGTTTTGACCCTGCGTCCATGCATGCCTTGTAATTATAATGGATGTCCTAACTCCTATGATGACCAAACATTGGAACATTGAAAAGTGGTCAGAAATTTCAATCACTTTAAGTCTTTAACCGGTGAGCTAGGACTTTTGTAAATGCTAAAGGTCATCAGAACGTTCATTTCTGACCAAAAGCTCTTGGATGCTAATCATTTTTAGGTGATCAGAAATTCAAGTATTTCCAACAGCAGCCCACAGGGCTGACCCTAGCTATGTGTGGCCTGGGCAACGGCACAAGCCCTCAATTTTTGGGGCCCAATTTTTTTTTTTAATATTTTATATATAGTTCATTACTTTTATCTTTAATAATTATGTTTTTAGAATCCACATATTGGTGTAATTGAAATTGAAAATAAAATTTTTAAAAAATTTCACATCAAAATTTTGATGAATAATTTTGTATCTAAATATATACAAAGAATGTCACTTTTAAGTTAAATTTTAATTTTTTTTTTCCGGATGAATTTTTATGCATTATATTTTGACAAAAGTTTTTTTTTTTTGTCTCATTTTTATTTTATGTTCTTTGCTTACATAATAATATTTAGAAAGATGGTCCAATTTAAACTATTAGAAACTGAGTTTTTTAAAAAAATAAATATAAAGAAAATAAATATTATGACTACTACATTTGGATATAGTACTTTTGTTTGATATAAGTAGGAAATTCTATATATGTAGGACATATATAATAATTGGAAAATGAATTTGTCTCGTTAGCATATATATTGAATCAGTAAAAATAAATAAATAATGAAAATGGTGATTTAGATGTTTGAGTTCGTTAGATGGGCAGTTGGTTGATCTTGATTTGATTTGACTGTTTGTTTATTAGTTTGAGGAGAATTGAACACAATAATAATATAATATAATATAATGCAAAATGGGATATGATACAAATTAAAGAGATTCCTCAGTGAAGAAGTTATCTCAACTTCTCAACTGCAAACCCTGCTGAAAGCCAACAGCTTAACCATTTCCAGACATAACTTTGGTTTCTTATGCTCACTTTAGGTGTACACCTACTTGACCTAATTACCAATTAGTCTTCCCCTATCCTCTATCCCCTAGCTTAGCTTGCTTCCTTTTGTATCTCCCCTTCCACTCATTCCTAGCATTAATTTGCCCCTTATATATATATATATATATATATATATATATATATATATATATCATGACCACTTATATTAACAATAATGAATGTTACTCGAGCTTGATTCTAGCTAGCAACCAGTTTTTGTAGTGTCGTGATATAAATATCAATTCATACGGAGTAAAATAATATTTTCAATAAAGAGACATAACTCTGCACTATTGCACAATTATTAATTGATCATTGGGGTTTTAATTTGAGGAAGCTCGTTTTTTTTTTTTCTTTTCCATTCACTCTATCAATATATAAGCTATGTAACAAGAATATATACTTTTCTTGTACTTTTACATACTTATTTGTCAATGGCTAGTCTTGACTTGGCTATCTTAAACTATACCATTTGATGATGGCAATTACTTGGTATTATATCACAAAAATGAACATTACTCCTGGTTTTAGCAACCTTTTTTTTTTTTTTTTTTTTTTTTTTTTTTTTGTAGTGTCATGGTACGAACATAGCGTACCAAGACCCATAATATAATATGCCCGACATATTAGGATTCTATGTATTATAGTATCCTAGTCTAACTAGAATACAATATAATATGCCCGACATATTAGGATTCTATGTATTATAGTATCCTAGTCTAACTAGAATACATAGAGCCTAATACAACAATATGAATCTGAATTCTATTGCCCAATTGTTAATTGATCATTGGTGATAGGGGCACGTCGCTTTTTGCACTTTTTTCTTTAATTTCTCTTTCACGTATCAATATAATAAAAATTATGTAGCGAATATATATATATATATATATATATATATATATATATATATATACTCTCAAAAGTATGAATAATATTTTTATAAAATTTATCTTTGGATCCGAAATGTATGTGGACTTGTATATTGTTAAACTCGACGACTGAGCTCCGTGCAACCTCGTTTCGATAACAGATAACGCTCCATAAGTGTAATGAAAATTTCAATTTAATGGCATTGGACGCTACATATATAGTGGCGATGAACATTATTCAATAGTGTAATGAGTATTATTGTCAGATACGATGAATAATAAACGATGCAAACCTTAGGTTTCATCATTTGTATAGAATAATTTCGTTATCCAACTATATATATATATATATATATATATATATATATATATATATAGTTTCATGTAAAAACACTTCTTAAGATATAAATGTGTGGACAATTCTAAGACGTTAGATGGGGGGGATTGGATGGTCCAGATCGTGTTTTGGGCTTTGCGCGTTTGGGGGTTGTTTTCACGGTAAGTTTGGATTTTTTTTAGTGGCTAGGGTTATTTGTGGTATTTCTCACGGAGGTGTGTCCTTGTCTATTTACACCACGTCTATTTCGCTCACACGCGCTTCGCTATTCTCGGTCAGCTTCTTCCTCTTCCCGTTTATCGCTCTCTCCTCGTGCGTTGGCGACACTTCCGGACGTTGCGTCGTTCGTGCGGTTTCATCCATCGCTTTTCACTTTACACGTAGAGATGGTCGGTTGTGGGGACCGCGGCACTTCGAAGAGGAGGGGACCACCGATCGCGGCTATCGGTGGAGGTATTTCTGTTTTTTTTTTTTTCCTTTTTCTGTGTGGGATTCATTATTTTGTATGTATGTTGGTTTGTTTTTTTTGCTGATCATGTGTGTTGTTACCGTATGTATTCAGGATTTGGGGGCTAGGGTTTCGTTTTTGGGTGTTTGTTGGCTTTTGCTTCGATTGGCGAATTTCCTTCGTATTTTTTAGTATTATGCGTAGATGATTTTAGTTTCGTTGGGTTGTTTTTAATCTGGATGCATGTATATTTCTATTCTGTTTGGAAGGTAGATTTTTGGTTTGTTTGTTTTTTAATTTTTTTTTTCCAGAGAGGCCGAATTTATGCAGTTTTGGGTAGTTGGGGTTTAGTTTTTCGGCTGTGTTTTAGGAAGTTGTTTGGATGCTCTCAATTTTTTGTTATTTTCGGTATTATGCTACTTAATGTTAGTTTGGGTGAGGTGTGTTTAATTTTTGTTGTGCGGAAGTTGGGTGTGTGGTATTTTCGAATTAATGCAGGTTTGGGGAGCGTGGGTGTAGTGTGTTTTGGAAGTTGTTTGGATGCTCTCATTTCTTTGTTATTTTCTGCATTATGTCTAGATAAGGTTAGTTTGCTTGGATTGTGTTTAATTTTGCTTGTTTGGAAGTTGTAGTTCGTATACTGTACTGTTTATGGTTTATTTTGCATAATCATTAGTGTGGGATGATTTGTGTGTTCGTTTTTTACTCCGTTTCTGCTGTCTTTTTTTTTTTTTTTTTTTTTTTTTTTTTTTTTTTTTTTTTTAATTTGGTTGCTGTCGTGTGTGGGGGGATGGGGTGGAGGTGGTTTCTTATTGTTTTGGCATTATGTGTGCACTTTTTGTGCGTAGGGTGTACATGTGTTGTAGTAGCGGATGCGGTTAAGTTTGTGTTAGGTCTGTGGTGTGGGTTAAGTGTGTGTATCGCGGTTTCGTTTAATTGGTTGTGGGTGAGGGTGTTTGTCTTTGTTGCTGGTTTTTTTTTTTTTTTTTTTTTTTTTTTTTTTTGTTTTTTTTTTTGTTTGTTTTTTTTTTTTGTTTGGTGGTGGTTTGTTTTGTGTGTAGTGGTGTGGATCATTTTATCTTTCTCTTTTCCAGGTAAGAAGGTTAGGGTGGTGCGGTGTGCTCCTGGTGTTGCCCAAAGTTGTGTCAGCGATGATGATTTTGTGTCACCACCCTTGGCTTTCTTGGCGAGGTTGGAACAAGACCCGGTGTGGAATGCCGTTGATGATGCCGTTGCAGTTCCTGCATCTTCTGCTGAGGAGTCTAGTGGTGCTGTGTCTTCTGAACAGGAATTGGAATTTCCTAGTGTTAAGATTCGGGCACAAGCTAGTGTTCTTGTTGATGCGCTCGTGGACCTATCTATGCGTCAGAAGGAAGATATTAGGAGCTTGGGATTTGGGTCGTTATTGGAGTTCAAGGTGTCTGAGTGCCCTCCCCGTTTGTTGCATTGGCTGTTAACTAAGTTTGATGGCCGGACGAGGACGTTTGACTTGGGTGGTGGTAGATCATTGCCTGTTTATGAGCGTGATGTTGAGTTGGTGTTGGGGTTCCCACGTGGTCACACTGAGATGGTGAAGCGGGAAAGGGTTCATATTAGTAACCTGCTGAGACATTGGAGGGGCTTGTTTGGGAAGGTGAGGCATACGGTTACTGCGTCGCTTATTTCGGACAAGTTTTTTGCCGAGGCTGACGGGGGTGATTGGTTTAAGAGACATTTCTCTATGTTGGTGGTTTCCACGTTGGTGTCTTGTATGTCCAATGGATATGCGAATCAGATGTACTTCGATTGTTTCTATGATGTTACGCGCATCCATGAGTTGAATTGGTGCAAGTTTCTTTTGGATTCCCTAGTGGAGACGCATGAGACTTGGAGATCTGGTCGCCATAAATGCTTTGTGGGGCCTGCTGAGTTTGTTGCGGTATGTTCGTCTTTTTTTTCTTTTTTTTTTTCTTATTTTTTGTTCTGATTGCTTCTATTTTAATCTTATTTTGGTGTTTTTTGTTTTAGTTATTTTATGTTGATCGTGTCTTGCCTTTTGAGCGGCCAGTTCCACATTTGCTGCCTTCATTTCGGGCAGTGGACATTTGACCTTATTTCTGCTAGAGAGACTGAGGAGATTAGTGCTGGTGGGTTTGGTCGTGGAGAAATTGATCCTCCTCCGGTAGATGTACAAGGTGATGGTGATGGTCCTGAATATGGTCCTAAGGTAATGAGTGCTTTTATTCGTTGTTCTTTGGCGGTGCTAATACTGGTGGCTTGGATGCACACTGGGTTTTTTATTTAAAGTAATTGTTGGGGGGTGCACACGTCCTATTAGTAGTTTGCACGCACTCTATTTTTGCTTTCAGGTCGTTTTCTGTTTGTTTTTCCTGCACACGCTTTTTAGTTTTATTCTAAGGGGTACTGTTTCCTCTCTTTAAATTCCAGGTTGCATGTAGTTGGATTTCTAATGTCTTTCTTTTTTTTCTGTCTTTGCACACTTTTGTGGTGGTATTTTTTTTGTCGCATTACGTGCGTGCACTTTGATACTCGGGTGTGTGCGCCCAACATCGTTGGACCTTGTTTTAGGGTAGATTGTGTCTGTAACACGAATCAGTAGCCGGTTTTAATTTATGTCGTTAATGCGTTGACTTTGCATTACTGTGCTTTTGATGGTCTCAGGTGTGCGCATTCGTGTCTCCCCGTGTGTGTTTAGATATTTTTAGTTTTGTCATTGTTAATCAAACGCCATGTTGTTTAGTTGTTCGAATTCTTTGTTGACGTAGCTCGCCCGGGGCCGTGGGTTTTTTTTAGGTCGTTTATTGCTAATCTAGTGGTTGTTTTAATTTTTCGACTTGGTTCCGCTTGTGTGCACGTTCGCATCCTGTGGTGTGCGCGTAGTGTGTAATTCGATTTCGAGAGGCACTGTGACTATCAGAAAGGCTCCATCAGATGGTGTCTGGAATATAGGGGTCATTGTTGATAACATAAAACCGTCTGTTGGCTGTTGGTAGAATTAAGTCATTGCAAACCATTGGTCACAGGTTTCGATACACATATTCAGGTTGTGTTGTTGTGGTTTAAGCTATTACATGTGTGCGTTTTCATATTTACTTGTGTGCGTTTGGGTTAATTTTGTTCTTTCATTGGTATTCAGTCGGCATGGTATTTTGTGCTGTTGGGATTGTGTGCATTTCATACCTCTCCCATGTGTGGGTTTTTTTTTTTTTTTATTATTTTTTTTAAATTTTTGTCTCTTTTATTTATAATCAAGTGGTAATGGGAATTATTCCGGAAGCTCCATCTATGTGCTTTTAATCATGGGGTGTGTGTACTGTTGTCAAAGGGTCCTTCGGACAATTGTAACAAATTAAAATAGTATTTCATATAAATACTCTAATACAGTTCGTTAATGGAAACTTACAACCATTGATCTATGTTTTTCAAATATAGATATTCTAAACTTCATTTGGGGCGACTTTGTCTGGACAGGTGCGACTGTTGTGGTCTGGGAGGTCGCATATATTGCACGTTCTTTTTTTTTCGAGTGTTTCTTTTCGGTGGCTTTCTCTTTGTTGCTTTTTATTCTTTTCCCACTTCCTTTATTCTTTGCGACTTTAGGTGGCTTTATTTGTATGTCGCCTAGTCTGTTTGCACCTATAAGTCTTTCAAATGGCGATTCGTTGTTGCCACTCTCTTGTGTTTCTTGCATCTCCATTTCTAGATCTTTTTTAAGTTGTTGCAATGTTGCCAACATTTGGTCCATTTTCTTAGGCCAACCATTTGCCAATCCCATGCAGGTGTAGAATTCACTCCATAGTTTATTGGCCATTTTTTTCGCTTCTTTCGTTTTGGGAGTATTTATTTTTCTTGCCCATGGCACATCATACATTGGTTGTGCACATGCGGTTCGGGTCCAGCGTGTAACGATATACTTTTCCGGGATGGTGTCATATCCTTCTGCCTTCATTACCAACAACACATGCCTGCATAGTAGACCCATACTGTTGAATTTATTGCATGCACACTCTATGTTTTCTGCTGTTGGATGTTGTGTAACTTCAAACATTTTGCCACTAGTGTCCTCTACTATGTACTTCCATATCTCCCCTTCTTTGGTTTTGTCTCTGAGGTGGCACGTGAATCCTGCCTCCCATATCTCTTGTTGGATTTCATAGAATATGTTTATGGTGTAAATTTTAACAGCGTGCTTCTCAATACTCAGAGGGGATTTTGTTTTTGGGTACGAACCTTCATTCTCTGCGATGACTTTTGATTGGTTATGTCTTTGTTCTCCAATTGCAATGTTGTATTGGGCCATGAATTCTACCAAGCTGCAGTGGGGGTTTGTAAACTTACCAAAGTAGCTGTTAGTCGATTCTGATATAGATGTTATCCTTAGCAATCCTCCCATGGATATGTTGTGGAAGTACGCGGGTATCCATGATGCACGTGCCTCGTATAGCTGTGTGAAGTGTGAACCACCTATGTTCCTCTAGATTGTACGCTTTCATTACTGTTTTCCATTTGCTCTTGAATTCGTCTATGGTTAATGTGTCATCCCATATGGTACTATTTAGGTCCTTCTTGAAGTCCTCGTTATGCCACAATGCCACCCCTACCTTTTCTCCAACTTTTGTCATGATGTGCCACATGCAAAATCGGTGTCTTGTTGTTGGCATAGTTTGTGGGATAACTACCTTCAGTGTTGGGTCTTGGTCAGTAATGGTGCACCTTGGTGTGTATTCCATTGCAGCTTTGAACTTTGTTAGTAGCCACTCGTACGACTCTACGTCCTCTTTTGCAATTAGGCCTCCCCCGAATGTAATGCATCGCTTATGGTTGTCCACCCCGGTGAAAGGGACGAACACTAGCTTGTACCTACAATATCAACATTTTATGAGTTATTTCTGGATGCACAGTGTGTTTACGCGGCGTGCACTCGGCCGAGTTTTTTTCTGAACTCCTATCAATCTGCTACGCACACAGGTTACACTTTCTATGCACGTTCGTAGGGTTGTCTATTTGTTGAAATGCGACTTCTGTTTTGTACGTTAGCTGTACATACTTAATGGTAAACACCTGATTAGCTTTAAATAGATTCGAGAATTACCTGTTTGTGCTGTACGTAGCGTTGAATGACATGGCATCGCCAAAGCATGCAAAATTCCTATGGGATTCTGCGTCTGCCCAAAATAACCTAGTTAATTGTGCTTCTTCATCTATGTCAAAATCGAAATAAAAGTGTGGGTTGTCCTCTTTTCTTTTGAACAGTTCTTCAATCACCATTTGGGCGTCCGCCTCTGCTATATAAGCCAATAGGTCCCTTCTGAAATTGCAGAAGTCGATGCATGTTGCCCCAACTTCTGTAAAACTTCCTACCATCTCTTTGAACAGTCTGAACGCTTTGGTGGGGCCGATGTTTGCCTTTGCACAGTTTGCCAAAAACGTCTTGTGTCCGATGTCGAGTTGCCTATTTATTTTTAAAAATGTTCTCCCCTCTTTCGAGCATAGACAGTGTGTATGTCGTAGCTCGATTGCATGGACTTTGTATCCTCCACTTTTACAATTTGACATTCCCATACGTGCCTTACAGCCTACCCTGTTCGACACTCTCCTCCGCCTCTTTCGTTTGTTGGGGTTATTGGGGGTTTCTTTCGTTTCAGCTTTGTATCCCTCCCGTGAGCACATGATGTATTTAATTACCACTTGTCCTGCTCGGTTTTTGCGTTTTGTGCCGTGCCTTGCATCAAATCCGACCTCCTTCGCGTATTGAATGTAGAAATCAATCACGGCCTCTACTGTTTCGAATCGCTGTCCTTCGTATGGTGTTTTTTCATTATCGGTTGCCGGTGTCCAGAATTTAGCACCATCTTCGGCCATTTCCATTGCACATTATTGCACACTGTCTTCGCAGTAGTCTTCACCTAGTGATCATATCAATAAACAACATTAGTGGCTTGTTTTACTTATCTTATTCCAGTTCTTTTCTGGATTTAGGTGGGGGTTCGCTCGTGTGTGAAGCGGACTACACAGGTGCGTGCATAGCTGCTCCATTTGGTGTTTTCATTGTTAAAAATCATGTTTAATCACTCACAGTTGGTGCATGTCTGTGTTCGTTGTTATTCATACGCTAGGTGGGTCCCTTTGTGTTACGTTCTCACTGAAACCGTGTGCGTCTCCACCGTTCGGGGTGTATTCAATGTTCCATTCAATGGGTGACCTATTATCACTCATTCCAGACCTTGGGTAATTACAATTCGTGTGCATTACACGGTGGTATGTGTGCTTGCGTTCCTACTGTATACGTATTTTTGAACTCATCCTTTTTCCCTACAGGAATTTTTCGCCGTTTGTGTATATTCTATGGGGTTTTGTACTGGTTTTAATCGCATACATGCTATCGAATTTAATGTGACCTAATTCGACCAACAATTATATTCAGTTGTGTCTGTTCTCTATTAGTCGTGTGTAATGCAATACCTATTACGTTTATACTATTACAATGAAGGTAAGATCATTACCTGGTAGCCATGGCGGCGTATACTCCATGCTTGCACCCAGTTTTCGTAGCCGGCGTTGTTCACCAGGGGGTTTGAGTATGTCTGCCGAGGTCGTCAATGGCGTAGGGAGGGTGGGGTTCGAATGGGTTGATTTGGTTGAATTATAGTCTAATTAACATCCTTTAAATTAGGTATATAAAATCACAGTTGCAATCATACCTTAATTAGCATTCTACGCAATTGTCTTTATTGCCCTTTTACTTAATTATTCTGTTCCAGCACATGTTGTGCACAATCCAATCTTGGCCATTAATCTAATCTAATCTTATGGCCTATATTAGTCCGTATGTTTGTATTTTAAGGGGGTTTGCATGTGAATGGCTATATATATATATATATATATATATATATATGTATGTATGTATGTATGTATGTATAGGGGTGTCACATGTGGTCATGTTGTTAGGTGTAGTCATATGGTCAATTATAGGCCATTAGATTAGATACATCCAATGAATCATATTAATCAAGATCCTTTCAGTATTTTCGCGCACATTCTCCTACCCAGCGAACTGCAAGAGTAAACTCGTCATAAAGCACCGGAATAGGAAAAATCACATTGTTGTGTATTTTATTACACTATTGGTGCATGTTGTCAACACAGTTGGTGTATTCTGGAACCCGGCCGCTATAAATGGCCACTGTAATTACCATAACACGGGAATACACCATTGGTGTGTTTTACTGTGGTGTGTTTTATTACACTATTGGTGCATGTTGTCAACACTGTTGGTGTATTTTAGGACCCACCAGCTATAAATGGCCACTGTAATTACCATAACACTCCCACTTACCAAAATGCGCAAAAATCCTCAAAATTACCACTGCCGTTAGATTAAACTGATTCAATGACACAGATACGACCACACCGCTACACCTAATGACATGACCACATATGAGCACTCTTATATATATATATATATATATATATATATATATATATAAGCTCTCACACGCATCGGGGGTTTATGGTGCGGCTAGGGTTCCAGAAATACACCAACAGTGTTAACAACATGCACCAACAGTGTAAGAAAACACACCACAATGAAATGCAAAAAAAAAAAAAAAAAAAAAAAAGATACACCATACACCCAAAAAAAATACATCATATAACTCACCACCACCTCTAATGATATATTTCTGAACATTGTATGATGTTTTTACTCACTCTAATGGTGTGTTTTTTGTGATATGTACCTAATTTGTGTGTGTTTTGTGGTGCATTTTATAACGTTGATGGTGTATAATCGCTCAACTGTTAGTGATGTCTCACAGCCGCACGAGAGGACCCTGCCGCACTTAAACCTAATTCTATATATACTAGTAATTGTCTTGTGCGATGCACGAACTATTATTTTTTTTGAATGCATGCACGAACTATTATTAATTTAACAAATTTACCAATTAAATTTTTGACATTCTCTGAATTAGCAAAGAAAGTAATGGTTGTGGAAACAGACAAACATACTTGAGTTCTTGAGCTCAGAATTAGTTTGATTAAAAATGTAAATATAACTATACAATGTAATATTTAATATTTTTAAAAGTTTAATTATGCTATTATTATGTTGATTTTAAAGTTTATTGTGACTTGTATTATTATTTGAATTAAATAACTACATTTTTTTATTATAAATAAAGGAGGATACCTACATATACTATGTATGCCTACACCAAAGCTCAAACTTTAGACCTCCCATATAAGGGGACAATCAGATACCAATGGACCACAAGCCACTTAGTATTAAATAACTACTTTAATTATATAACTATCGTATTTAAATAAAACTTGTAAATAAAATAACCGGCGATATTTGTTGAAAATCTCCACCAAAATCTTATTCATTTGAAAAAGATTATTTATATAAGAACTATATTTATTTTATATCTAATTTATCCTCTTTATACGTGTGGAGTCAAATTAATTATAATTGGGATTTAAATGAATATATACACAAATTATATTAAATATAAAACTTTACCAATAAATTTGAATACAATAAACTTTTTTCTATACTTCATTATGATTTAATATATATAGAGATAGAGATAGAGATAGAGATAGAGATAGAGCTGTAATAATAAAATATAATTTATAAAATATAAATACACATAATAACTTCAAAAAAAAATGTATAAATACATCTACCCACACAATTAATGCATTCATACTTTGGAGGGAAAATTTTGTGGCTAGATTCTGCTTTATTATATATAAAAATAAAGATAAAGATAAAGATAAAGAAGATATATACACACATACACACAGAGTATCATGCTTCCTTGGTATATAAACATGAGTAAAACATGTTTCAAATGGTACAGCTGATCTGACAAACTACATAGAAAATTGATGTATGTCTGTTTGAGTGCAATTTACTTTTTGAACTAGTGTGGGTATTAGGTAGAAGATAAGGATGTCAAAATAAAGTCGATTTTTTCACATTAATACGTTTCTTTAATTGGATTTTTATACTAACTTTGATGGAATATACCACCTTTGCAAATTGCAGTGCATACCTTTTAGAATTCTATGCCTATTACTATAATAAGAAAACGACGTTTTGTTCTATCTCGATAATATATCATACATACATTAAGATTTGGAAAGGGCCGGGGAGGAGGAAGAATTAAATTACAACAAGAAGGAAGAGAAATTTAGGTTTTCAAAAAAAAAAAAAAAAAAAAAAAAAAAAAAAGGAAGAGAAATTTATAAAGTAATATTAATAGAAATATGTCAAGATACCATTTGTAATTTTGTTATCCTATTGGAAAGTTTTGCAGCAAAAATTCAGACACGCAATATTTAGATGTTGTGGTATTGTTGCAAAGTTTTATTAAGCAATTAAGTTAGTCATTCCTTCCCTAGAAACTGATGGAGAAGGTAAATTACACATCAAATTAGTGGAGGATTGTACACTAGTACCACAACAAAATCAAATCTATATCTCCTTTTTTTTTTGGGGTGGGGGTATATATCTCCCTTTTTTATTCTTGGTAGGATTTGAACCTTGTACAATTGTACATTACAGCTGCTAGCAAAGGGAAAGCTTCTAAACTTATTTTGAATTGATTGACTAATTGAGCTATATGCCTCGTGGGCAATTTTACCTATTTATATAAGTTGAAATATATACTAGTTTATTTTAGAATCTACTAGCTTCCAAAAGTCTTTTAATTCTTGCTCCAAAATGTTGAATCTCCAATTCCAATGGCCTCCCACACCCTAGCCCAGTTGTTATATCGTGGACCGCGGTGCATAATCAATTATGCACCGCGCATCAAAATGACGATGTTTCTTTAAGTAAATAAACGGCGCGTTGTTAGTGTTAACGGAGTGACACTATAGTGTATCTAAACCGACACTGCTTCACGTATTATTTTTATATTATCAAATGAAACTGCAGTTATATCAAAATGATACTGTAGTTGTGGTGAAATGAAACTGCAGTATATATAAAATGAAACTGAATAACATTTCACATATTTGAGTTTATATTGTACAATGAAGCTGTAATTATATCGAAATGATCATGTAGTTGTGTTTTAATGAAACTATAGTGTTTATAAAATAAAATTAAATAACATTTTCACATATTTGAGTGTATAAATATTGAATGAAACTGTAATTATATCGAAATGAAACGGTAGTTGTGTTGAACTGAAACTGTAGTGTATACAAAATGAAACTGAAAAACAGAGTTATTTTTTGCGAAACGGTGCAGAACGGCGCGAAACGAATTCTGTTTCTTTTCATTAAATAAAACGACGTCGTTTTGATGCGCGGTGCATAATCGATTATGCACCGCGGTGCACAATATAATTTGCCACCCTAGCCTGACAGAGCATTTGAGAGGATGGTTGACAAGCTCCACAAGTGCCCTGAATTGTTGTCATTTAATATTAGGTAAAAACTTGTGAGATACCGTCTAACGAATTCTTGTTCGTGAGACGGGTCGGATTGTAGACAACTAAATGTGTAAGTATCACAATTTCAGTTATAAGTATTATACTATTTGTCATTTATCATTAGTAACAATCAATTTTAGCCTAAATAGTATCACAATTTCATATATAAGAATTACAATATCTATTATAAGTAACAATTTATTTTTAATTCAAATTGGTATTAAATTTTCTACAATAAGTATTACAATTTCTTTCACAAGTAACATTTCGCATATAAGTATTACGGAGTACAATATTTACATTAGAATTACACTTTGTACGTATCACAATTTCAGTTATAAGTATTACAATATTTATCATTAGTAACAATCATTTTACTCTAAATAGTATCACAATTTCACATATAAGTAA